TGCGTATGTCTCTCTCTGTGTTTCACTGTCTGCGTATGTCTCTCTCTGTGTTTCTCTGTCTGCGTATGTCTCTCTCTGTGTTTCTCTGTCTGCGTGTCTTTTTGTCTGTGTCCCTATGTATGCATTTCTCTGTCTGCTTATGTCTGTCTCCATGTCTCTCTGTCTGGGTCTCTTTGTACGCCTGCGTTTCTGTCTGAATATATCTGTCTGCGTGTCTTTGTCTCTGCGTCTGCCTTTTAACTTCCTGCAGAATACCTTCCCTGCACTGTTAGCTGTACTTTTTGGGAACACTTTGCATGACTTGATGTAATTAATTTCTGTCCTTAGTGGTGTTAGTAGAGTTGCCACTCATCCTGTATATATAAAAAAACCTGTACAAGACGGGATTGATCCCCAAAGTGCTCGTGAATGAGGCCCCCCCTCCCCACTCTGTGAATGTTATCATGGGAGACCCCCCCTGGGCGCCAGGGGTAGCAGCCTGTATTTTTTTGGATTGACAGTGGCAGCCCTACGTGTTAGGCATGTCTTTAACCGATAAAAATGTCTTAATGTTTCACCCTTAAATAGATATAAACCTGTAATATTATAACTGTAATATTATAACTAAATCCATTTGGACATATTATGCTTACAGTCATCTGACAATAAAAACAAACAAACACATTTAGTAACTTGAGCTGTATGCTTCAGCATCTGACTAAAATTTGTTTATGAAGATGGAAATTCAAAAGATGTGTATTTATGTAAAACTGAATTTTAATCCCAACGTTTCAGTTTAACAGTTCACTTTCACCATCTCTTTTAAAAATTTCCCTTTACCGTTTCGCAGGCCATTGATTTGTTAGAGCTGCCTGTTAAGGTGGACTAACCCTTTTCAGTAAATACAGGTAGCATGTACAGCCTGCAACATCCTCAAAGGGTCCTATTGGCTTTTACTTACAAAAAATGACGTTTCCCATCAAAGCTCCCAAAAGTCCAGAAATGTCGGGTCTTTTTCTCTAACAAGAAGGCTGGACTCCTGGCTCCAGATGTCTAGAGTGAACCATAAAATGTCCCTCTCTACGGGGGATTATATCTTTGGTGTCCATAACAGCGTTATGATGATATGATTTCCTACAAGGACATGATTACAGTATCTTCAATGTGCAAAGAGCTGATTTTTATTTGTGTTTTTTAGCTAAAAAGCTTCACATGATAAACTTAGAGGTGCATTGCCCATTTCATGCTGATACAGGTTATTTTTGGATTAAGGCAGAAAATTAATGTGTCTGGTATGACTGCTGTTTCACTTACGGTCCCTATAGTGACGTATCTGGTGTGACTGCTGTTTTGCTTATGGTTCTAATAGTGATGTGTCTGGTATGACTGCCGTTTCGCTGACGGTCCCTATAGTGATGTGTTCAGTATAACTGCTGTTTCACTTATGGTCCCTATAGTGATGTGTCTGGTATGACTGCCGTTTAGTGCTCTTCCTGTGCTATAAAACATGTAAATAATCCCCCAGGTGACCTGTGCTCGTGAGCTAACACTAACATCACTACAGACTCCTTTCCAGGCCTTCGCTGCTCTGTCTGGCTCCCTCCTGTCCTTAGTGACCTCATGTCCCCAGAGAGGCTGGCTTCTGTCCACTTTGCTCTCTCTATGCTGATTGGCTCTCCTCCTGTTACCTCCTCACAGGGAAACGTTCAAACCCCGGTGAGCAATGAGGGCTACCAAGAACGTCTGTCACGCTTAGAGGGGGACAAGGAGTCCCTTGTCTTGCAGGTGAGCTGGTATCTACCCCCAGGGACATGCTGCGGTGCCATTCGGCTCCTGGGGGGGCTGGGTAGGGGTGGTGGGGGCAAGTGTCTGTCCTCCTTTAATGGTGTTGATCACTTTAGTTAACAGCGAGCAGTAACACTGCAGGGTCCCATGATGCCTTGCCCGATATAGCCAGGTGATGCGTATCCCAGCCGTCTCGCAGTCATGCTTTTTTACTGCCTGCGGCATTCCCGGCATTCCTACCTGCCACAGCTATAATTACTGTATGAAGCTGGTGTGTTAGGCTGCACTCGGCCAGGGTGCCGTTCCTGTTTGTTTGTGTGACGTGTGACAGGTCCAGTTTCACAAGGTGTCAGGTACAGTGTGGTAGGGCATGGCTGTAGGTCGTGTGTGTGTGTGTGTGTGTGTGTGTGTGTGTGTGTGTGTGTTTTGGGTTGCGTGCTGCGTCGGGGCGGTTTGTCCAGCACCTTTTAAAATCGTGTCCTGGCTTGTTGGACTTGGCCCGTCTTCAGGCCGCTTTCCCAGAGACGGTGGCACATTCCCTGCTCCTAGGACCTGGCCAATCGGTTGCATTTCACCCTCACTAAACAGTTTTGCTTTGCCCCAAGCCCTGCCTGCCTTCCACAAGGTTAAACTTTTACGCGACCGTGGTAGAGTCCTGCTCCCATCCGCTTCCTGGTATTGTGACGCGTTTTGAGGGAAGGGCCCTGGGCACAGTGTGTCAGAGGGGCGTGCCCCTGGAGTTTGTACCTTCCCCAGGTGGGGGCGGAGTGTCACGCACTGACGGAGCGTGTGTTTCTGGCCTGGCAGGTCAGTGTGCTCACAGATCAGGTGGAGGCGCAGGGAGAGAAGATCAGGGACCTGGAGAGTAACCTGGAGGAGCACCAGCACAAGCTCGACTCCACTGAGGAGATGCTGCAGCAGGTAGGGACCTGAACGCCGGAGCCACCACCACCCCACCCGGAGTCTATGCTGCGTGATGTCATGGCGTTTGGATGTGGGCACAACTGGGCAAGTGTGTCTGTAGCTGTACTCTCATAACACATACAATTCCCGCACACTTGGCGGGCACTACCAGAGGAAACCACCACAAACCAACTCTCACTTCCGCACACTCAGCTCTGACTCTGACTGTGACTCCCACACACTCGACTCTGACTCTGACTCTGACTCCTGCACACACAGCTCTGATGCTGACCCTGATACCGTCACTGACTTACAGCTGGTTTCACTTTGCCATCTCCACCCACAGAGGGTTTGATTTCGCTGTGAATGTTGTTGAGAGTTTGGCAGCTGTTTCTTTTCCGGGGCACGTCACACTCTGGCATTCGCATGTGGAAAGTGTGCTTCTGTCACCTCCGCTTGTGGAGTGTACCCGTTTTCCACTGTCCGTTCTGATACAGCGACCTACACACAAACACGAGCCGCATTCTCGGGAGGGGGGAGGTAGTCACTCTGCTTAATCTGATTAAGTTCAGCTCGTGGCCACATCCAAAGGGCAGGTTACACAACACAGCAGGACAGCGGGTGACCTGATGCCATGTGACCACAGGTCACATGACGCTGGGTCACAGTGCTTTTGTTGTTTTTTTTTTTCCTTCGTGAAACGCTGAGGCCCAGATCTAACGCTGTTTCATGCTGTCTTTGCCCTGGATATTTTCATGTGTTTTTACATCAGTTTTCAAGTAATTTTAGTTCTGATTTCTGTGGATAAAACTGGCAGGGGTGCTGTGAGCGAAACACATACTGTAGACTTAGGAAGTAATTGTGCTTATAAATCCTCATAAATCTGTAGTAACCACACAACACAGTATCGTAAAGCTCTGTCTGGCGTTCCTGTGGGAAGTGAGTGTGCAGAGTGATGTTAAGGGGTGAATGAGGCCATTCAGCTTTGAGGTTCCTGTCAGCTGACAGACTAAGTCCCACATGCTGGACCCTTTAAATTCTGTGCTCAGGCCCGGTGCTTTGGCCTCAACATTTCCACCTGTGATGAAACCCAAGCGTGTGCAGGATTGCCCCGCCCCGGCGGGCAGGAGAACGCATCACTATGCTGCTCTCCCTGGGGGACTGGAGGTACTTCAGCTGCCCATCTCACTTTTAGGGCTGCTTTCATGGGCTTCCTGTGTCCCAGCATGCCTTGCTGCCTGGAGTTTTGTTTATTGTTTTCAGCATTATAATTTGCATGAAGTAGCCGGGGGGGCAGCATTCAGCCTTTCCGGCCTGGTGAGAATCTGGCCTCTGTCACACCTTTAATTGTTCTGGGCACACCTTGCATTCAGATTCAGGGATTTCCGGCTCGGAAGGCAAAGCACAGTACAGAGTGGCAAAGCCGCGTAAAGTGCGGCAGCCAAAGGCCGCCGTGCCATGGGAGAGTGGCGGCTCGGGGCCCTGAAATGTGAGAGCGTCACGGTACACAGCAGCCGAGTGAGCCAGAGCGCTACAGCACCTCCCAGAGCCCGACGAGACGGAACGGCAGCCACTCAGCACCCGCTTTCAAGCTCTCTTTCTAGCTGCTCGGGTCCCTTCATGCGAGGACCCGCCTCGGGCCACAGTTTAGCCGTCTCGCGTCTTGCCTGTCTGAAGTGTCGGTGGGTCCCGTCCAAAGTGAAACCATGATCCGTAACCATGCCAACGGTCTGCTGTAACTCACACGGTGTAATTATGAGTTTTCCACATTTTCCCTGCAGCTCTCATTTTGCTGCCGACCTGCACACAGAACTTTCCGTTTGCGTTTTTTTTTTCCAAAAGCTGGGATACCATGGCTTCGCAACGCACATTTTTTGTTTCTGTGAGTCTTCACGCAGCAGTCGGTATCATCACGGTTACGGACGGCACATCTCTGCGCTACTGCTCCTTTGATGGTTATCACCATAACCTCTGACAGGCCCATGGTTTGTAAACAAACAAGCAAAAAGAAGAGAAAGCCCCCGTTTGGTCTGAAGAACAAGGGTTTCACTCTCCAGTCTTGTTTTCCTCAGAAAACACAAGCTGAATCCTGCCTGCCGCTCATGTGCTCGCTGCCGACAGAGCAAATAAAAATAGAGTGCATAGCAGGATATATTTAGGAGAAGTAGATCCTCACTAAACTTTGGTTTAGGGGCTGCTACTGTTGCTGGAACGGAACGGCGTCTCGAGCTTCTTATGTATCCGTGTGTCTGTCCCTGTGTCTGTCCCCGTGCGTCCCTGTGTCTGTCCCCGTGCGTCCCTGTGTCTGTCCCCGTGCGTCCCTGTGTCTGTCCCCGTGCGCCCCCCACAGGAACTCCTGAGACGAACTTCGCTGGAGACACAGAAATTGGATCTTATGGATGAGGTTTCCTACCTGAAGCTGAAGCTGGTGGGCATGGAGGAGCAGCAACAGGGCAATAGAGAGGACAAGCAGCAGAAAGCAGAGGTACGCGGTGAAGAGCGGGCCTGGGACGGGGGTGGGGGTCCGCGTCCTTACAGCCACAGCGGTGACTTACCCCGACAGCTGCCAGAAGCTGAACCGCCACAGATAGGAGACTCGGTACTTAGTGTGGATGGAAAAGGTTTGTTGGTTGGGTGTCATTAGACACTCAAATACTGACAGGACGGTTCTGCTAGACTGGGCTCCATGATGGTGGGAGAGCAGTTTACCACATCAAATGTGGGAACAGGTTTACAGGCCAAATAACTTTAGCGTCCTGTACAAACACAGCGTTGCCTAACAAAAGAGACTCGTGAAATATACTTTGGGGGGGGGGTGCTGGGTAAATGTTCAGGGGAGTTTGCAGAGCTTGTGTTTATCTATTTAGGGTCAGTGTGGTGTTTCTGTAGGCCGGGGGGTAAGTGGGGGGCAAATGATCACGTCGTACGTAGATCAAACAGACCCCACAGGACTTTTTCAGATAACAGATAATACCCCCCTTCCCCAGTGAGACCCCCCGTAAACACCCGGCTCTCTGTACTGACACCCTGAGTGAACCCCCCCCCATGACTAAGAGCACTTTGTTTCATAATAGGCTTTCGGGCGGCGGGGGGTTTTCAGTGCTTCAAAAGATGCGTGCAAATATTTGGATGCATTTTTTCTGTGTTTTACAGTTCAAATGTTGAATAGTTTAAAGAGGGAGAGGTTTTAGCTGCGCAGCTGGGAATTTCTTTGCGACTTTGGTCCATTTGTCGAGTGAGGACAGGTTAGAAAAACAAGCCAGAAGTGGAACAGTCACTGGGAAACACTATGGCCAGCTGCCAGGGGGGTGGTATCGCTGCCTTACACCTTTCAGGGAGGCAGTTTATAGCTCTGGGCTGATCACCTCGCTCTTCAAAGGGCGACACGAGGAGCCCCGTCCACCTCAATGAGACCATTGTGCTGACTTAGAAATGCGTCCTTAGCAGCTGCTCTGGTGACTCTCCCCATCTCTCTGTTTCTCCCTCTCTCTCTCTTCCCTTTCTCCCTTCTCTCTCCCTCTCTGTCTCTCCCTCTCTCTGTCTCTCCCTCTTCCCCTTCGCTCTTTCTCCCTTCTCTCTCTCTCTCTGTCTTTCCCTGTCTCTCCCTCATTCTCTCTCCATCTTCTCCTTCTCCCTCTCCCCCATCTCTCCCCCGTATCTCGCCCACTCTCCCTCTCCCCCATCTCTCCCCCCTATCTCGCCCACTCTCCCTCTCCCCCATCTCTCCCCCCTATCTCGCCCACTCTCCCTCTCCTCCCCGTGTTGTTTTCTGAAGTCCCCTTTGACCTTATCTCTGCCTCACTGAATGTGTGGCTGTCATATGACCCCAGCATGAGCTGCTGTCTTATTTACACA